AGGACAGGACAGGATAGGATAGGAAAGATATATCTTAGCAGGCCACAGTGGGACTGCCTCTGTTTCAGGGGCCCCCCGTCCTGCCGTGCTCCCTCCTCCTCCTCCTCCAGGCTGTCAATGCCATCACTTGGCTGGTCTGCCTGTAGCCCGAGGATCTGCAGGAGCTGGCCGAGAGCCAGGTGCTCAGCCTGCACGAGAAGGTGCTGCGCCTGCCTCTCTGGCTGCCGGCAGCCCTGAGGAGGCAGGTGAGGTGCTGGGCAACCCATGGTCTGCTGCCCCCCTGTGCCGGTGGCTGCTTAGTGAGCCAGTGATCCTGCACTGCGGCCATACTTGCTGCTACTGCTGCCCCGAGCCCAGCAACTGTGGCCACTGCCATTGGCCCTGATGCGCTGCCACTGACGCGCCCACCCCTGCCAGCCCTGGATCAACATGGAGCAGGGCAACCTGCTGGAGAAGTGGCTGAAGGAGGAGAGCCGGACTGTGCAGTGATCACAAGGCTCAAGCAGCTGTGTTGGGGGTGCTGAACTTCCCTCCTCCCCACCCCGCTGGGGGAATGGCAGCGCAGTGATGCGCTGTCAGGAGGCTTTCTGTGCTGCTCCCATTAGCTCGCCAATGGACGCAGTGGGGGCACTGCTTGGCAGCAACAGGGGTGCAAGGCCAGGTAAGCGCCCCTCTTCATGCCCAGACCCCCGCACTCCAATCCACCTTCACCTCATCCCCCTGTGAAGACCCCGCACTCCTAGCTTGCTCCTACGCCGTCCATTGCTCCTGCACTTTCCCTCCTGGCCAGACACTCTGCTTCCAGCCTGCTTCTGCACCCCATCTCCCACCTTCACCCCTTCCTGCACTCCACCTCCCACCCAGATCCTGCACTCCCATCTCTGTCCTATTCACTGGCAGCCCTAATCTGCACACTGAACCCCTCATTTTTGTTCCCACCCCGAAGCCTAAGGGGGTCCCTAAAATCTACTAACCGTGGAAGCCCAGAAAAGTAAATTTGGCCTATGGGAAGCCCTGAACCTCAATCCTCCCTGTCCCTTCCCAGCTGGAGTGCCAGAGAAGTGAGGTGTGTCACTTCAGGTCTACATTGTTGAGGGGTTTTGGAGGATTTTTTTCTTTTTTTTGCTTCTCGCTTGTGTGGTCCCCAGCTGACTTTTCTGTGGGTCAGTGGCCTCCAACCCCAAAAAGGTTCCCCACCCCTGCCATAAATAAAGAAAACATTGAAACCTATTGTATTGGACATAAATTAATATTTTACTTTATTTAAAATGAAGTTTGATGAACTAGCTTGAGAAAGTGAAAATGCTTAGTCTGTTTAATCATTTAAATTAAACCATTCTCCTTAGCTGCAGCACTAGCAAATTGGCTCAGGTGTAATTATGTAATGAATGGTGAGTTTCCATTAGCAACTGGTGGTCTGTGGAAAGGTTTGCATTGAGCCAGGTGGTCCAGTGGAGAGAGCTCCTTCCCCCCTCCCAGGAGAGCGGCATGGGCCAGTGCAGGAGGGTTAAAGCTTGGCACATTGGGAAGGTTGCTGACCCTAGATTATCCCATTTATTTTTCTTCAAAATAAAGTATCATGGAATTGTGTGCTCCGTGTAAAGCTTGGGGTTTTTTCTTTTTTTGTTTTTTTGCAGGGGGATAGAGAGAAGCTGCTTAGTTCAGCGCAACGTGTAGAGCAGGGCTACTTAACTTTGGAAGTCTTGGGGGCCACAATGATACTCACAGCACATGCCGAGGGCCGCAGCCTAAGTGTGGTTGCATATACATGCAAATATATATGCAAATAGCTTCTTTCACACTGACGGGCATAAATACAAAGCACTTCCCTCAAGACCCTGGCACTCTAGGCACCTGCTTCCTGGGGGCTAGAAATGCCGACACCCTGTTCCAGCCAGCCCGTCCGCTTGCGTCTTTCAATGCTCACCCTGCCTGGGAGATGCCTCGCCATGTTCAAAGTGTGTTGAGCCCCGAGTAAACCCAAACTGCACAGGGGGCGGCAAGCAAATGGGCTACGGGCTGCATGCGGCCTTCGGGCCACCTGTTGAGTAGCCCTGGGGTAGAGGAATGCAGTGTCTCAGACACATAGTTAGCTGTCTAAGTTAAGACAGACCTCACAGTTGAAATGGCTCCTTCGATTTTTTTTTTTCATGTAAAAGCTTGCGAATGCGGTATGTTTTGAGAGACAGGATTTTAAGGAAAAGAGTGTAGCTGTCTGCAGCATAAGGAGGAGGAAATTTCTAAGCAGAGTGGGGTCAGAGAAGACTGACTGAACACCAGGGAAGGAATGGTTGGGGTGGTGCAATGCAGTGGACAGGCTTGTAGGAGAGGAAGAAATCAGAGCTGGGCTGCATGCAGGAACACTGGAGGGCAGAGGTGTTGCATAAATCGCTAGTTTCGTCCCCTGGAGGCTAAGTCAATTTGCCCCAAGAAGAGAGTCACACATTCAGGCTGGGTCCAACTCCATTTTATTGTTTGCAAACACGTTCGACTAAGGAGCTGTTGCTCAGAGCAGAGTCGACCCCGGGCGTTGGCTAAGCAGCTTCTTTTACAGACATCTTAGATTTCCTTAATTGACTCGGCATAACATGATTGGTTATTTTTTCTTCGTGTTACAACATTATTGGCTAATACACTTCAACTTTATTCATTACTTAAGGCTTGGTGCAACATGCAATAATGCTTGCTAAACAGTTATAGCAATTCTCGGGGCCTGTATGCTTGATCGTGTGGGATGTGCAGTTTCGTTCTTGTCAGATGGAGACGAAAGTAGTTCCCTTTTTTACTGCAGAGGTTCTCGAACTACAGTGGGATTGCTCAGCTCTCATGTTTGTGCATCAAGAGAGGTATCAGTTCTCTGATTTCCTGTCCTTCGCCCTGTATTGCCAAGAGGCAATGGTTCTTCCCTTCACGGATTCAGAGGCAATAAGCACACAAATTGGGTGAAGGCTTAAAGATTTTACTAAGCTAATATTAGAGTGTGTCTAGACTACAGGGTTTTGTTGACAAAAGTGGACTTTTGTCGACAAAACTATACCTGTGTCTACACTACCGCTGAGTTCTGTCGACATAACTGTCGGGGTGGTGAAACACTGGAATAAATTGCCTAGGGAGGTTGTGGAATCTACACCACTGGAGATATTTAAGAGTAGGTTAGATAAATGTCTGTTAGGGATGGTCTAGACCTGTGGTCACCAACCCGTCGATCGCGAGGCCTCGACCAGTTGATCGCGAGGCGTTTGGGCACTCCCACCCCCGAGAAGCCCCACTACCTACCTCTAGTGTGGTGCTGGCTTCCCGTGGGGAGGATGGAAGTCCTGTCTGAAGCCCACGTCACTTCCGGGGGTTCCGGAAGTGCGTGGGCTACTCCTCTCCCACAGCTCTGTTGCGTGCTGGGGGAGGGGGCGTCGGCCCTGGAGGAGGAGTGAGGTGGCTTCCCTGCGCCACTGGTGCTGGAGGGGTGAGTGGAGCGCAGGGGTTTCCCTGCGCCGCGGGAGTGGGGTTTGGCCGCACCACACTGCGGGAGGGGGGTTTGGCCCCAGGGCAGGTGCCCACAGGGGGTTGGCTGCGCTGCGGGAACGGGGTGGGGGGGTTGGCCATGTCG